TGGTATGACCTAGAGTAAATTGTGTAACCCATCTGTGTCTTAATCTTTTCCAATGAATCAGCACATGGCTTTTAAACTCCTGCTATGTTTCAAGTCCTATTCTAATTGGAAGACTGTAATCTTTTATTTTATTTGAAATAAAATAGCAATGATTTTCACCCCCTTTGTGAGCCCACAAACAAGACAGTAGATATTTAAATTCTGGGGTTACAAGAAAATAAAACAAAGAAGTCCTTTCAGTTCTGCTAATTGCAAAATGAACACATATGCAGGCCAGGTGGGGAAGAGAGGGACTGCATTTTTGTCTTGGGCGTTAACCAATGTAACTAAGTGGTCAATTGCTATAATTTGAAAGAGGAAGAGAAGTAAAAGAACTTCTGTTGATGCTGTTATTTTAAGTAGCTTCATGCTCTATCCTTATTTGGGTAACTTGACTGTCTCAGATTTGACTAAGCTGCAAGTTCCAACTTGGTCACTGTTTACCTAATCTCAAAGCTTTAAGCAGTCAGTCACCCAGGGAGCTGCAAGGAGATTCACTGTTGATAGGGTGAGGAGGGAGTACTGTAGTTCCCCAGGCTTTTGGACAAGGCTTTTGTTGAGGGGATTCACAGAATAGTGGGAGCAGAAGGGAGCCAGTGGAATAGAGACAGAGCTGAAGTGAGGAGGAAATATGGAGCAAGACATAGCAGCTGCCGGCTGGGCGTGGTGGCTGATGCCTGTAATCCCAGCACTTTGGGAGGCTGAAGCAGGCGGTTTACCTGAGATCCACAGTTCGAGACCAGCCTGGCAAACATGGTGAAATCCCATATCTACTAAAAATACAAAAAAATTAGCTGGGCGTGGTGGCAAGCACATGTAATCCCAGCTATTTGGGAGGCTGAGGCAGGAGAATGGCTTGAATCCCTAAGGTGGAGGTTGCAGTAAGCCAAGATCACCCCATTGTACTCCAGCCTGGGTGACAAGAGTGAAACTCCTTCAGAAAAAAAACCAAAAAAACAAAACAAACAAAAAGCAATCAACATAGCAGCTGCTCCAGGAGAGAAATTTCAAAAAGTGGTGATGAGATATTTAGAAAGGTTTGGGTATATGATACGTAAACTTCTCTTTAATCTACAAATGAAATTGCAATGAAATCTGCCTGGGTAAAGGTTGTACTGGTTATTGGACTGTTTGCCTCCAGATCCATCCTTTATGTCTGCTCTGCATGTCTGACTGTTGCAATCTATGATACCTAGGCTCTCTTGACAACCTGTTTTAGTCTCGCTTCACCAGCGAGAGGTTCTGTTGGAGACTGGAGTTTGGGATGAAAGGGAAAGCCAAGGCATTTCTTGTCCTCTTTTTCTGCCATGGGAGGCATATCTGGCAGTAGCTGCCCTCCTCTGTGGCTCCAGCTCTTGCCTGAATAGACCTGTTATAATGCTAATCTCCATCAAGGGACCCCCAGCTCTTTCCTTGTCTTTCCAGTCTTAAGGGTGGATGGTGGCTTCCCACTTGCTAATCTTTCGTATGCCTCATCTACCCTAGTGACTATCTTAGCCACTTTAACACCTTTATAATTACAATTAATTCTCCATATTTAATACCTTCTACTTAATAACCCTGGTGGGACCCTGATCAACACAGAAGAGAGGTACCTTTTTTCCTTTCCTGGTTTCTATGAGGAGGGATTTCTCTAAACACGTCTTGTTTCCATTTGCCTTTTTATTCATCCCACCCCTAGGGCGCTGGAGTGAGTAACTGGATGGTAATTTTGGAAGAATCACTGAGCGTGTTGGGTCAGCTTTGCTGCTTCCTGTTCGGAGTGGGCATTCCAAGAATGCACATTGTCTCTCTGTATTGCAAGTCTTACCTGGGCAGGCCTGCTCTAGCCTAGCAAATGCCTGACTATGGGCAAGTCTGTCTAATTTTAGCCCACTTGGCCACCAGACCTAATACGTAGTCTTCCAGCCTGGCCTCTGCCTATAACAAAGGTGATCTTCATTTGCTCTACCTTTGTTTTGTTTCTTCAACTTGTTCAAGATGCAGGTGAGCAAGAGGAGTGCCATTTATTGAGGCTCCCTCCTTCAGAGACTTTAACATTATTCATCAATTCTTTTGGAACTAGATTTATGATTTTTTAAATATGCTACAGTAACAGAGAAGGCCTAAAGATAGGGGTGTCTGAACTGAGCTGATTAGACAATGCTTCCCTCCTCAGCAATTTCTGGGACTCGCCAGTTGAATCCACATGTGTCCATGGATCAGCACTGCTTATTGCTTACTTCCCAACTGCACAGTCTACGGTCTCTCACCTAACAGGACGACAGTGGTGCCATTGAACTAGAATATTATTCTCAATGGCCAGATGCTTTGGCCAAAATTAATGTCTGCTTATGCAGTTGGAGCCTTACCCTATAATTGTGCTGTTGGAAGTAAAGGCCTGCTGTACTTCAGTGTCAGGTTGACTTCCAGTATGTTTCCTTATGATTCCTAGAACCATCATCAGCCCTAGCTCCCAAGGCAAGACCTTCCTCACTCATGCAGAATTCTTCCATGTCATCCCCATCATTCTTCCTGTAATTTGGCTGCTTTGAAACCACCTGGCATGATTTGAACACATGTATACATGTCTAGTCCCCTCAGATGTATGTGGTTCAGATTTTTTTTTTCCCTAGAAGTTCCTTAGATTCTATATAAATCAGGGGTTCAACGTATATTCCAGGGGAGGATTATCCCTACACTGCACTCTCCAGAAGCATCTAAGTCTCAGTCAGCTATGACCTTGTGTGTGTGTGTGTATACATACACACACACACATACACACACACACACACATATATGGTGGGTTTTTTTTTTTTTTTTTTGAGACGGAGTTTTGCTCTTATTGCCCAAGCTGGAGTACAATGGCACGATCTCGGCTCACTGCAACCTCCACCTCGGGTTCAAGCCATTCTCCTGCCTCAGCCTCCCGAGTAGCTGTGATTACAGGAGTGCACCACCATGCCTGGCTAGTTTCTTGTATTTTTGGTAGAAACAGGGTTTCACGATGTTAGCCAGGCTGGTCTTGAACCCCTGACCTCAGTCGATCCACCCACCTCGGCCTCTGAAAGTGCTAGGATTATAGATGTGAGCCACTGCGCCTGGCCATCAACGTATATTTTAAAGGTTGAGCTCCAGGTGATGAGTCCTGCCTTCTTGACACTATTTTATCCATTCTCTATTCTCTTTGACTAATTCCCATAAATGTAGTGGAGAAAACTTGAGTTATTGGAATAAAGTTAGACAAGAATGCCTTATAAAAGAGCATATTTTTGGCCGGGCACGGTGGCTTACGCCTGTAATCCCAGCACTTTGAGAGGCTGAGGCAGGCAGATCACCTGAGGTCAGGAGCTGAAGACCAGCCTCGCCAACACGGAGAAACCCTGTCTCTGCTGAAAATACAAAATTAGCCGGGCATGGTGGGGACTGCCTGTAATCCCAGCTACTCGGGAGGCTGAGGCAGGAGAATTGCTGGAATATGGAAGGTGGAGGTTGCGGTGGGCCGAGATAGCGCTGTTGCACTCCAGCCTGGGCAAAAAGACCTAAACTCCATCTTAAAACAAAAACAACAAAAAAAGAGCATATTTCTTCAGCTATATTTGAATACTACGATGGGGTCAGAATTCTGGGACAAGAAGTAGCCAGACTGAGAAACAGATTAGGACTCTGCTGCAGAGGATGTACTTCAGCCCCCAGCATGACGGACTTGGTGATAAAATGAGGTCATTTATAATTCTTCTACACAGAAGCACTACAGGTTGACTTAGAGCCACTTGCATTTGTAATGGAATTTCAGTGATAGGGAACCACTAAGCGTGTGGTAGACTCTTTCTTCCTTATTGTATCCTTGTGGAGCACCAGTGCCTGGCACCCAATATGGAGCAACCAATGGCAAAGGAAGGAATGAAGTTTTAGAGAATTTCCAGGCAGATTATATTGCTCTCATAAAGAAGACAACCACATTTGGTGCAGCAGTCTAAGACCATTTACTTTAAAAATGCCAATTTAGCCCTTTTCCTCTTATTTCTAAAATCCTAGTTTTTCTTCTACGCTTTTTAATCTCTGTCCTCTTGTTTACCACCTTTCTCCCTCTTATCTATGGGCAACAAACTCCTTATTATATGACATAATTAAAGAAGATGAATTTTCTTTTGGTTAATAATGATTCCATAAAGAATGGAGTAACTCCTTCTACTACTACTATCCTTCCTGTTCTTAGGCAAGTTGTTTAACCTCTCCAGGGCTTATATTTCTCACTCCTGAGTGGCATTAGTAAGAGCAGTTCTATGGATCTCCTGGCAAGGCATGAGTGGAAAATAAAAAAAAAACAGTTGGAAACATTTTCTTATTAGCTGGTTGTGGCGGCACACACCTGCAGTCTCAGCTATTCAATCGGGAGGCTGAGGTGGGAGGATTTGAGCCTGGGAAGTTGAAGCTTCAGTGAGCTGTAATTGTGCCACTGCACTCTAGCCTGGGCAACAAAGTGAGCCCCCATCTCAAGAAAAGAAGGAAGGGAGGAAGGGAGGAAGGGAGGAAGGAAGGAAGGAAAGAAGGAAGGGAGGGAGGGAGGGAGGGAGGAAGGAAGGAAGGAAAGACTGTTTTGAAAGTTAAGCTAGGCGCAGGGGCTCACACTTGTGATCCCAGAACTCTGGGAAGTGGAGGTGGGAGATGGCTTGAGGCCAGGAGTTCCAGATCAGCCTAGGCAACATAGCGCGTAGCTCCATCTCTTCAAAATAAAGTCAGCAGAGTGTGGTGGTGTGTTCGTGTAGTCCTAGCTACTCAGGAGGCTGAGGCAGAAGGGTTGCTTGAGCTCAGGAGTTCAAGGCTGCAGTGAGCTAGGAACGCACCACTGCACTCCAGTTTTAGCAACAGAGGGAGACCCTGATTCTGAAACCAAACCAAACAAAACAAAACCAAACAAAAAAGAAAGTTAAAAGCCCTGTATTTTATATGCAGATCATTATCCCCTGTGTAACCACAAAGGGCCAAGTGTGATCACCAGTACAGTGAGAGCCAGATACAGAATGGTTTCCTTCTTTGTGGTCCATGGGCCCTCAGAGTTCCTGTGTGTATATCTTGGTCATCGGAATCTCCTCCTTTGAATGAAAGACACAGAAAAACACATTCAAGAGAGAAACAGAGATGAGAAAAGGTATGATTGTGATGATGGTTCAGGAAGGAAACACCTTTCTTTGGATGTAAGTTGGAGTTACCTGGGAGCTGAGGAGAAAGGTTCCTGTGTGACTCCAAGATCTTTTGGGCAGGATTGTGTGATGTGGCCTCACCCTTATGGGAAGGAGGATAAGAACAACTGGGAAAGAAACATTAAAGCTATCTGTGAGAGTGGGGAAAATTGATGGTGTGATAATGATGATGACAGCTACTATTTATCTAATGGCCACCAAATGCCAGGGGCTTTACTCAGCTTTGTACTACATTTATCTCTCATCTTCCTACAGAACTATGAGTTAGGTGTTATGATTCCCTGCAGATCAGGGCATAGGTTGAAACAGGGTTCTTAACTTGCCCAAAGTCATAAAATTTAACAGTTTTTGTTTTTCTTTTTTGCTTAGCTAGACTGATGTTTGCAAGTTCCAAGGGAAGGTGGGAGCCGCTAGTCTTTGAAAGGAAGAGAAAAAAGAATGACAGGATGGCGAGAACTCTCATGCTCTAATGGCCTCCAGACATCCAGAGGAAAGGAGCTGAGTCTGTCTTTTCACTGTCATATCCTCGGCACCCAGTCCAGTCCTGGCAAAAACTAAGTGTTCAACAAACATTTGTTGAGTGAGTGAGTAAATGCATGAAAAAAAATTGTCTCAGAGACTTTTTGAAGGATAGAGAATAGAAAATGAGAAAGTTTGCATCGATTTTGTATGTTGCACGTCTTTAGAAGAGATATGAAGGGGTGGAAAAAAATGGGTAAGATTCTGAAAAGCCATTTGGGGAATGCGATAGAGAAATCAGCTAAAGATTAAAGCAAGAAGAGTTGAGCAGTGACAATAACCTCTCTAGAAGTTTGCATGAATTTGTCCATTGTTTCTGAGTAGCACTCTCTTGGTCAGGAGGCTACAGAAAAAGATTTAGGGTTTCTTTCTATCTCATGTAAAAATCTGTTATCACTACCATTAATTTTTTTTTTTTTTTTTTTGAGACAGGGTCTCTCACTCTGTCACCCAGACTAGAGTGCAGTGGCACGATTTCAGCTTACCACAACCTCCACCTCGCAGGCTCAAGTGATTCTCCTGCCACAGCCTTACAAACTACTATTTATTTTTTTTTTTTTTTTTTTTTAGAAGGAATCTCACTCTCTGTTGCCATGGCTGGAGTGCAGTGGCATAATCTGAGCTCACTGCAACCTCCTGCCTCTGCCTCCTGAGTAGCTGGGATTACAGGCTTCTGCTACCATGCCCTGTTAATTTTTGTATTTTTTGTAGAAAAAGGATTTCACCATGTTGGCCAGGCTGGTCACAAACTCCTGATCTTGTGATCTGCCCGCCTCAGCCTCCCAAAGTGCTGGGATTACAGGTGTGAGCCACCATGCCAGGTCCAAAATATCATTATTTTTTTTAGAACCCATTAATTAATTAAAAACCTGTCATGGTTGGGCATGGTGGCTCAGGCCTGTAATCCCAGCACTTTGGGAGGCCAAGGCGGGTGGATCACCTGAGGTCAGGGGTTCAAGATCAGCCTGGCCAACATGGCAAAAGCCCGTATCTACCAAAAATTCAAAAATTAGCTGGGCGTGGTGATGCACACTTGCAATCCCAGCTACTTGGGAGACTGAGGTGGGAGAACTACTTGAACCCAGGAGGCAGAGATTGCACTAACTGAGCTGAGATCATACCACTGCAAACAAACAAACAAACAAACAAAAAACCTGTCACATAAAACATAATGCAACATATTTTATAAAATGATGATGTTGAGATTACAGTCTCAATTAAGTGGTTGAAGAAACTCACTAGTGCCCAAAAGTGGTAGGCGTCAAATTAGATCTGCTTTAAATGCTCATCTTTAAATGTCTATTTAAATAATAATTATTGCTATATATATTTTCAATTTCACCCATAAATATTTCAGTATATGTCTATAAATGGTACAGACTCTTTTTAAAAACATAATTACTGTATAATTTTCACACCAAAAAGAAATTAAGGCTGGGCACAGTGTCTCACATCTGTAATCCCAACGACTTAGAAGGCTGAGGTGGGAGGATCACTTGAGCCCAGGACTTTAAGACCAGCCTGGGCAAGATGGTGAGAGTCTATCCTGACAAAAAAATTTTTTTAATTATCCAGGTATGTTGGTATGTGCCTGTGATTCCAACTACTCAGGAGGCTGAGATGGGAGGATTGCTTAAACCCAGGAATTTGGAGCTGCAGAGAGCTATGATCGTGCTACTGCACCCCAGCCCAGATAACAAAGTGAGACCCTGTCTCTAAAAACAAATGAACAAACAAACAAAAAAACCCAAAGAAACAAGGAATTAAATGACTTTAATGACATAAAACATTCAGTCAATGCTCAAATTTCCCCAATGTTTATTTTTTAACAGATATACTAGCAAATCAGGATCCAAATAGGAAGCACACATACACTGTAATTAGTTTAGATGAATCTTTTGATCTATAGATTCCCTCTCTCATTCTCTCTACTTCTGTGTGATGGAAATGAAGTTCCCCAGTCTGGATTTTGCTGATTGCATCCCCATGTGTCATGTGACATGTTCCACTGGTCTCTTGTGTTATCTGAAAATGGAATTTGATTCTAGAAGCTGGAAGAGATTTGACTTTTCTAGCAAGAACCCTTCATAAGCTCTGGGTGCAGTGGCTCACGCCTGTAGTTCCAGCACTTTGAGAGGCTAAGGTGGGTGGATCACCTGAGGTCAGGAGTTTAAGACCAGCCTGACCAACATGGTGAAACCCCATCTCTATTAAAAATACAAAAATTAGCTAGGCATGGTGGCAGGTACCTGTATTCCCAGCTACTCGGGAGGCTGAGGCAGGAGAATCACTTGCACTTGGAAGGTGGAGGCTGCAGCAAACTGAGATTCTGCCACTGCACTCCAGCCTGGGTGACAGAGCAAGACATC